CAAAGAAGCATCCCCTAGCTGAAAAATTCACAGTGGCACCTTGAAACATCGGTCAAACGCACAATGTTTGATCCAAACTAGCTGTTTGGCATTACATTTCAAGTTGGCTTTTTCGATGAAACCGAATGCATTCGATGTGCATTTGCGCTCGTACACATACCCAATTGCAATTCCGGCGATACAAAAAAAAAAAAACGGTGCGGAAAATGTGTATTTGAAATACTCAATCGCAAAACATCGGCACAGTTCAGTCAACGAAACGAAATGAATAAAAATTAACGAACCATAGACAAGTGAATCACACCGGCCATGATTCGATCGCAAAATTTTACCGCAAACATTCAAAAGTGGATTCGACACTGTTCCATAATCAAGCGTTTGGAAGTTGCCAACAATTTATGATGTCAACAGAAATGATTCTTCATGATTACTCTCGGTTGTCCAGCAGCAAAGAAAATGGGATGCCTCCGGCTGACAATTGAACACTTTTTATTGCAATAATAATATCAAGCGCTTAAGAGTTGAATTGAATAAATGAACAACAACAAAAAAAAAAGTTTTCCATTGAAACTCTTCAACTTGACGATATGGAAAACATCAGCAAAACTTTTATCCAACCGGAACACTGAGGGCGTTGACTATAATTAAATTATGTTAAACCGTATTCGCGTGTTTATGTACACAGTGTTTTTTTGATTTTGTTCTGCGGTTTGTCGTGAATTATTTTTCATAATAATTCGTGTTCTTTTTTTTAAGCGATGCTACTGCTGCGGCTCACATCAAATTCATCATTGGCCATTATTTGTAGTCGGTGGTGTTGAAAATCGTTTAATTTGCGTTTGCACATTTTAATTTGAGTGCAATTGAAACAATTTAACCATTTGAATATTTGATGAGAAAATGATGAACAAATATTTGACAATGTCAAAATCGAATGTATGCAGACAGGGCGGCGAGAGGGAGAGAGACGATTTTGTATGCGCACATATACAATCAACGATTCGATGAGGGCTCTAGCGCAAACGGTATAGAAAAAAAGCATCCTGGCCCCGACATCGGTTCGTCCAATTCAATTTTCTAATTGAGCCACTTTAGCCCGCGCCCAACTGTTTACACAAATATCATTCATTTTAAAAACTCAATGGCGTTGATTAAGTGTTTAACCACAAAAATTGAGCCCGCAATTGACACGATACCAAAAAATAACAATTTTTTTTTATTAATTTATTAATTTGATTTATATTGTTGGTCGATGGTTTTTTTTTTGTTCAACATTGAACCTTCAGTGCACGCGCCCGTGAAACATTGTTTGCTTGCTTAGCGCCGAGAATGGCTGTGCACTTGTTTGATTTGTGTGAACGTTTATTGATACGTTCGTTCCGTAAATGTGCCATCTGCTCCAACTGTTTTGTTGCGCGCACATTATATCGTCTGTATCGATTCGATGATTCTATTGTTTGCAATCTGTTTGACATTATTGGGATGGAATAATCTCTGTTGTCTATGCTCAAAGTACACCCGAAAAACTCTAATCTGATTATACTATCAACTGTACAATACCGTCATAGAATTGGAGGAAATTTTTTAAATCAACAGAGTTTAGTGAGCAGTGACACCAAAAAAACACGAACGAATAACAAAATACACTATCCTTAAATTGTTCAGTCTAAAACGCAATCATGATTGACAGACGATGAAAATGATTTTTTTTCTGCATAAATGTAATCTTTTGAATGAATTGAATGAATACTTTCTCTGTCTCGTTTCCGAATCTTAGACATTATTTCGATGCTTTTGGAACATTTAATAAAATGCAAATTGACGTGTTACTTGAGCACAACTTGTGCACAAGGCCACATCATTAGGTATCATCATCACTAACTATGATAAAGATGATTGCGAACGGCAGGTGTGAATATGTAAATTGTGTAAATTATTAGTTATGCCGGCCAATTGTATACAGTTTATATATGATAAATATGATAAATTAGCTGTACAAATCAATGATGCCAGCTAAAATTACTGACCACATGTTTCCCTCTTTTTCACCTCATCCTCACAGTCACGTGCCGATATAGTTTAGATACAGCATATGTGACAAATCTGCCCTGATGAACCATGCGGAAATAGACATTTTGCAAAATTTGACTATTGGCGATTTGCAATGATTAATTCTAACGAGTATGAGAAGTTTTTTATGGTTAAATGAAAAATGGGCTACTTTGACTTCCAAACCTTACAAGTTTAATCGATTTTTATGCATGAACGGCTAATGCAACTGCACATAACAATATATTTGTTCATTCTAATGATGCTGCGCATAAATATTTTGGTCATTTCGGCTGTTTCAACTCTGAACGAAATATTTTCTTCAAACATTCATCCGAATGCCGTCAAATTTGTGCTGATCCCAAAAGAACGATTGAAAAATGTGCAAGACTCTAAGTGAATCAATTTCCCCTATGTAATGCAAATTATCTATGAGAGTCGAAAGTAGAGGAAAAGATTCAATGTGATGCGTGCCAATGAATGCAATTATATTTCTGGGTGCGATGTATACAAAACAAAACGTAAAAGTATTTTGTCCAATTTATCCATATATAGCAGAATTAAGTGCATTGGTTTACATTGGTATCCAATCGCACGCTATTGACCATTATTTGTCTTTGGAATATGTTAATAAATTCTCCATTCAAATCGGTTATATACACTATATATAATGTGTCCCAAGAATCGATGCAATGAACGTGTATAGAACTCGGTTCGGATTCCGTTGCACGCTCGTTGTCTCGACTACAACAACTACTGTTTCGAGAGGGCGAACGAGCGAACGAGCGATTGAACGTACGCGCACTTATAGTCGCTGGCATAAATTTGCGCCACTCTGAAGAAAAACCATCAAACGGAGTTTTTCCAAAAGCAAGCAAATGCAATAATTCAGCGGCAAGTTGAACTGAAGCAGCTGTGCAACAAATGTAAATCAATAAAATTTGTGTGTGTGCATTTGGTTTTTTTTTTCTTCTTCGTTGTCTTTTTGGCTTTGTTTTGTTAGCTGGTTATGCGTATGCACAATCATAAGAGTCTTTCGCATTTTATTTACTACATGGGAAAATTAAGGTCCATTGTATTCGGATGGTCGCGGTTTTTATATGACTTTTGTATTGCATTCATTCTGCCATTCGAGCCGGTGAAGGAAGAAAAAAAAATGTTTTGTTTTGATGTGTTCACGAGCTATAAAATATTTAGCCGCATATTCGAACGAAGAATGAAAATGAAGAGAAGAATTTGAAGACGAAGAAAAAAACAACAACTGACCGAACTTTGCGCATCGGAAAATATAACTTGCAATAAAATCGTAAAAAAGCACCAAATTCATCGAAAAATGAATGAGTTAGTGGATATGTTGCTGTTCCTCAAACTGAACTCAAGTTCGGTTTTTATTAACATATTCATCGACAATGAAGTTTTCTTTTTCATCGAAAGATTAGTAAAATAAATTAAATTTGAAAGAAAAATTAATATTATTTCTTGATTTCTGTTTAGCGTTTTATTGTGGAAGTTTTGTTTACTGGAAAATGCTTTCATTTTCAATGAATGCAACGGTGCAAAGTAGTTTCGTTTATGTATGGACTTTTTTTTTAGTTGGGCTTTGCTTAAAAATATGAATTGTTATGGAATACATGTGCTATTGACAGGCGAAAAAAATCAACCGACAAACCGAACACAATCGTCGACAAATTTAAATGCGCGTGGTTTTGTTCATCGCATTATTCGACTTGCCTTGTATTTTTCTTATTTCACTGCTCTGACTATTGAATAATTTATAAGTGCTTAGATGTTGCAATCTGACTCGGCTTTCCATTTGTAAAATATAGTTAATGTATTTTGGCCGGGCCGCAAGTGGCCAAGAAAAGAGTGCATTTTTCGTTGTAGTTTTACATTTTCCAGTGTGTTTTAATTTTGTTGTTTTGTTTTGTTTTCTTGCTTAAATTTCGATTTTCATATAAAAGAAGAGATGTGTCCTGTGTGTAATGCAAATCCATGTGTTTAGCAAGATAAATCTCATTCCATGGCAACGATAATAATTCTTATTCAGTGTTTCAACTCTTAGCTACACCCATCAACCGAGACCATTCAAGAAATCAATCAACGATGCGACGCAGTTATGGGATTTACACAAATTTCCAGTTAAGTTTGCTGGAGCATCAACGGTGATAACAATCAATAGTTGCGAATGAAGTCTTCCTGAGACTTGTTTAGTGCACACAATGTAACGCAATCGAAAACAAAGGAACAAACAATAGAACCAGTGAAAGAGTGAATAAAAAAAACACACAAACGAAAAGAGAAAACGATAAACGAATAAAAAGCAATCAATGAATTCAACAACAAAAAATATATACATATATATTCACGTACATGACACATTGTGAAAATAATGTGCAAAGCATCTTTTCTCTTTTCGTCTTTTTCTCTCTCGGTGTTAAAATCAACGTTGAAAAGCGATGTTGGTTAAACTGTAAACCGAACAGAAAAACTCTACCAATTCCGATTGAATCAACAGATAAAACATTTAACTTGATGACACTGTTTTACACACTTGCCTGTTGTCAGTCGTCGCGCATATATTTAGCTCTTGTCCATGCACGCTTTTTTTTCGCCATTCTCACTTTTTTTTCTCTTACGTGCGATGGAACAAATCTATGGATTCTTAGATTTATTATTACTTACTATAGTGTAAGTTTCATTACTTACACACTGTTGATGCGAAAACAAAATTGTTGACTGACATTTTAAGTAAATTGTTTTGTTGAATGGTGCAACATTATTTACAGTTTTGATTAAAGTTCAAATGTGTTGTTGTTGTTTGTTTTTGCAAAAAAAAAAAAAAAAAAAAAAAAAAATGGAAAAATTGAAACAGCATTAATTTTGTGTTAATTTGAATATGATTTTCTTTATTCGGAACTTTTCTTTTGTCACTATAATTGATAATAATATAAATTAGGGAGTTACTAGAATTGTTGAAATTTATTTTTGTTTGTTGTCATTAGAGTTTGCTTTGTTTGTTGTAACCTTCATTGTATCTGACAAATAATTGAACAATAAATGTTAGAATTCAGCTAGACATTTTGACATTTTACACTAACCTAATTAATAATCCACAGACGAATTTTCTTTTCCTTTTTTTCCCTTTTTCATTTACCGACATGCAAATAAAGTTTTTTAAATGGTATTATACACATCTAAATAAAATGCTCATGGGCCAATGTATGGCCAATTCTTTGTATGGCTTTGCTTTACCTCCTAAGTGATAGTGTTTCTCTTCCGGGCTACAAGTAAATTTGTTTTACATTCAATTGTACATACATAATACCTAAAAATACTATAAAAATTGAATAGTTTGCTCGTTCTTAAAAAAAAGGAATAAAAAAAAATTAAAGTACAAAAAATGTGCTAGTTCAAAAGAAAAAGTAGAAAATGAATTTGAAATGAATCAAACCGATGAATTGTCTAGAAATAATGGCATTTTTTTTAAACCTCTGCCAAATAATTCGAAAATAATTACTAATTTTTAAGCCAAAACTTCACCATATTAGCAACATTTTACCGTATTCGCTTGATTTTATTTACTCTTAAAATGCTATCAACTTAAAAGAACGATTAACCATTTCCTACACTATCATATGAACTGTCAACAAAATCTTTCTCCCACTTGAATTGTCTTGTGGCTGCTCTTGCAATTGAGTTAGTGTGAGCGAACATGTTAAATGACAGTTCAGTAGCGTTAGTCGTTTATTTTCATTTAAAATAAAGAAGAGTTAAAAAAAAAACAAAAAACGCCAATGTTAGCCATATGCAAAACAGCAATCGACCAAATATTATAGACAGTTTTATGTGCCGCATTTTAAAATGATGAATAAATTTCCATCAGTCTATAATTTATGCAGTGTGTGTGTGTGTGTATTTGTGTGCTTTTTAACTTCAAAGCGCTTACTTGTTCAACCTTTTTCTGCCTTCAAATGCGGCTGCTCTCTCCATGTTTACTTTCTTTTTATCGAATATCTCTCTCGCGTGTGAATTTTGTCGACGAGTGATGATGTTGGGCATTTTTTCATGTGTATTTTATATATTCATTCGTTCATTATTTGTTTTAACTGTGTGCAGAGGCGGGTACTGAAGAAAAGGCACCGAGCACCGCCCAATCCAGTTATATTTTAATAATTTAGTTTTATTATTATATTCGTAAACACTGGGGAGCACATAACATGCGCGCAATTAATCGACAAGAACGAGAGAAAAAAGCACACACATAACAGCGGCAGGCGTTGGAGCAGGATGCGTTGCAAAGAAAATGTTGCATAGAATATATATTTGTGCTGATTTCACTTTTTGAATATAGACAAAATTGAAATATAGAACTGGCAGCAAAACAACATTCGAAGAATGAAAGGCTCATTGGACAGAGAGGAAATTAAGAAGTATTACGTATACTTAAGAAAAAAACATACTTGATAATTAAAAAATCATGACTTAATTTCAAACCAAATCAAAACAAAAAAATATGAGAGAGAATCTTTTAAAGAAAATTTCTTATACTTTTGCAAACCTTGCCATCGTTACTTACACATTAACTGTGCTTTTCATTCTTCCGTTTAATTTCTAGTTTTTTTTTTCTTCTTTAAATTACTTTAGTATATTGCACAATATATCGTTTTTAGTTTTGAATAATTTGGACATGGTTAGCATGAGAGTGTACCTTTTGCCACAGCGTTTGGAATTGGAACTCACCCGAAGATTTAGAAGAAAATAAGTGTGAAGTACACATGCTTTCAAAACTGCTTGAGCATAAAACCAAATAATCGAGAGAGAAAGAGATGATTGTTTGATACTTGGGACGATTAAGTTGAGCTAAATTTTGATTTTAACGATAGAATTCACTTTTCATTACACCTAATTAACAAATTTTGCATTTTATTTCAATATCAGATCCAATTTTATTGTTTAAAGTCCTGTTTTACTCTCTTTCTATTCTCACAATTGACAAAATCATTTCAAATACTATTCGACGACTCTTCTCACCGCTGAAACTCTAAAATAAACACTAATTATATCTGTTAAATTATCATAAGTCTAAGAATAAAATGTTATAAACAGTTAATTTGTTGTTTGTGTCGATTTGGTTAGTCTGAATTAATTGTGGATATAGTTTTCGGTTTTTTTTTTAAACTAACTTTAGTTTGTGTGTGTGTTTGTGTCATTATTTTGTCGTTAAACTATATATTTATATTTGCTATGCTTAAAATGTATAACTTTTCATTTATTTTACGTACACATATTATCCTTGATGCCAAAAGACTGATATCAGTTTACCATTCCATTTTAAGTTTTACATACGCACACAGACAATACTTAAATGCAAATTGGTTTGCTTGATTTAGGGACAGATACACATATATATATCATTCGTGTGTTTTTAGTTTTGAACATGAATCTTTCGAAGCTCGTTTGATGATGTAACAATCTTACATTGTGGGCATGGCTTTTTAGAATCCTGTTCCATCAGAGAGAGAGATAGAGATAGAGAAAGAAAGAGAAAACAATACGAAAAAAGATGAAATATTTTGTTAAAATGGCATTTGAAGTGCAACGGCAACGGAAAATCATTTGAATGGAAACAAAAGAAGTTAAAAACTAACCTTACATATGTAGCATTTGTAGTGTTCTTCTTCGTGACCTCGCAGTTTGAGCGGTGATCCCTCGAGTTCCCGTATTCTGGCGCGTAACTCTTCCAGCACTTGGGCACGTGATGCTGGCTCAGTTGGTTCGTTGGTTGTGCTAACATACGAATCGGGTGATGTTATCAGCGCTTTATGATTTGACAAATCGTTTGCCGACGAGTCGATTTCCATCGATGATACGGCCTCTTCCGCACTGAAATTCATTTGATATATGTAGTTTTTTTTTGGGAATTTTATTAGCACCGTATTTTATGGATGGCCATTTGTCAACAACGAAACTATCTGAATTGAATGAGAGATTGAGTGTGTGTACCTATTTTTATCGTTGCGTTTGAGATCTTTTGTTGATGGTTGCATCTTTTTCGGGCATTCGTCTTCATCATTTGTAACAATCACTTCTTCGTCATTATCATTATCGCATGTATTGTGTGTTGTTTCAGCACCGCCATTTTTTAAATCGCGTCCACTTCCTTTCGACATATCACCGCCACCGATAACGGTAATTCGATTTCGATCCTGTGTTGACATTCGGGCATTTGGTGATTCAGACGTACGATCAACATATTCGTTGATTTGATCGCTGCTGGTTGGTGCACCAGATTCACTTACTGGAAACATCGTTGGCGGTGGTCCACACCCAATAGCTGGCATTGAATTTACTAAGTTTGGTGCACCCATACTAGGTGGACTTGGTCCCATTCGATGTTTTGTGTGCTGTTGCCAAATGCTATTGCGTGATGTTATCATATGCTCTTCTGATGGCATACCGCCACCACTACTAGTGAACGGCATTGAACGCATCGTTGATCGAATCGAATCCATTTTTGTGATATTATTATTATTGTTGTTATTATTTTGTGCAGCGGCCAAATTCATTGCGCTGCTGGCCGTTTCGTCACCATAGCTTTCAACGTCAACTGTTTCATCTTCTTCTTCTGATCGCGACTGGCCACTCTAGTAAATAAATAAGAATTTATTTTTAAGTTTGGCGGAATTCGGTTTCTCTATGTTCAATCATTTATTTGACACAGTTAAACTAAACTTTGAAAACAAAAAACAATTAAAGAGACCTACCTTTCGCAAGCAATCTTCAACATGCTGTGCAATTTCTTCGGGAGTACGTTGCAATCGTCCATGACACACGGGACATGATTGACATTGCGAATTTCGAATGTGTTCTGGATATTCTGATTCGGAATCACCCTTTCGCTTACGAGTTTTTGCACGTAAACGACCTTGACGATTCGTACGAATCCGCTGGAATGTCTGTGAAATTTCAAAAACATTTTTCATTTCGTTTTCATTTTTGTTTTGTTCAACATTGACAAGATTTTTCATTGATTTGATTGATCGTTTCTGGTGGAAAAATTGAATTCAATTTTATTGACTTACCTCCCATCGGCTGTCCGGCCCTTGTATTAATCCATTGCTCATATGCATAGTATTATTCATATTGAAACTGGCACGAATGCGTTGACGCTCTGGTCCTGAGCTCAGCTTATATAAACGATCCAATTCGGCAAGAAAATGTGTTTCCAATTCATTTGCTAATAAATGAACACCGCAAACTGGACACGAATTTGATGGTGGCGTTCCGATATTTGTCACTTTCTTTATCGCTATAATTCAAAGAGAGAAAAAAAATACATAAATCAATACATTTTTCCAAATTAATTTTAGTAATCAATACATATGAATTAAAAAAAAATCTTTTCAGTTTGAATAATTGCACCATCAAATCATCGAAAATCATGGAAAAACTGTCGCACACAATTTATCGTTATCATCATTACACAAATGAAGAGGTCATGTTGTGACTTTGTAATCAATACTTGACTCATCCCACACAATGTGTCAAATTCAAATTTGTTTCAAGGGTGTAAAGTCCTGGCTACTTTTCTGCAGCATATCGCATCACATGAAAATGCGTGTTAACGACATTCGAAAGTTTTGACATTTGTAATATTTTCAGTAAACATAACGTGAAAATCCACGTTTCTGTACCAAATCATACAAATCGAGGGTAGTAATGAGCAGCATCAGCAGTAGCAGTAGTATGAACTCTCTTGCTCTCTTTTTCACTCGAAATAAATGTACCCATGATATTCAATTGAAATGGCATATTCATTGTTTCAATTTGATCCATAATTCCATCGGATTATTTTAATTGCCGTGCATTCTATTTCAAAACTGTGAAAATATCATTTATATACTTGGCGCTATGGATTATGTGCAAAACATTGGGTTGTCATTAATTCGCTACGGTTTGGAATATATTTGAATTCAAAACTCTCCAAATTGTAAACTGAATGAATGTCGAACAAAATGTTGGTTTAGCCCCAACTGACGATGCCAGAATGGAAAAGAGGTGAAAAAAAGAGTAAAAGTCAATGGAATCAGTTCAAATGTTTGTTGGGTTGTTAAAATCAGAATTTATGTACTGAATACCGTAAAAGATCGGTCATTACAGGCCGATTGACAAAAGAATGAGCACGGAAAAAAATGCGTTACACAATCGAAATTGGTTAGCGCGAGTTCGAAACAATGTACACAAAACGTTGGCACTGGCGGCAGCAGCGGTAGAATAATGATATTTAATGGTATTGCTTGGTGTGATGATCTGTTGTGGCATTTTTTTTGGCATGGTGTGTGGTGTTCGATTCGACGGGAATAATGCGGATAAATTGTCCATGTCCGTGCGTATTCATTCGATATATCAAACTGTGTTTGAAGAGTTGATGTCGAAAATGTTGCAAAACTCGTGAGCTGTATATGTGTGTAGATTTAGTTTAGAGTCCAGACTCTGTTCATGTGTCGTTGTTTTGAATTGGTTTGCGGTGATGCCATCATCAGCACACACACACACACATACCCTCATGTTAAAGTGAAAACATTTAAATTAAAATCGGCTACCCATTGAAAATATGTACATTCAATTTAGAATGCATCAGGCAATTTAACAGTAATAAATATTTGTGTTTGGTCATTTGTGTATCCTGAGTATGCGTCGTTCGCGCGCGTCATTTCAACAGCATTCCCACTATAGAATTGTCTCTCGGCGAATCGCGCCGTCAAAATTGCTGCACGTGTATGCCATTGTTTTTCGGTTGTTGTTTTCACGACACCGACACATTGGCTCAAATTGAAATCATACTTTTTAGCTTAATGAATGGTTTTGCCGTTTTGTCGACAAAGTGTTAGTCGGGATTTTCATTTGAAAAACGAGATATGGTGAACGACACACAAAAAACGACGGTTTACGCCACAACCAAAAATCACTCGCATGACCATTAAATCGGAAAATACAAATATAGATACTAAATGGTAAATGGCCATGACATGTTTCGCCTTGCATTAGAAACACAAATTTATACACGTTGGGGTTTCAAATTCGGGAAAAAACACCAAAACTAAACTTCGGATTTCTCTACCGCCACGATATTATGTTATGATTATTAAACCGACTGACTTTGGAATCGTTGCATTGACAAATGCGGTGTGACAGTTGCGTTCAATTACTGTTTGATTGTGTTTAGATTGGTTTTTTTTCTCTCTCTCTATCTCTCTGTTTTGCCTGCCAGTGTGTTTATATTTTGAATGACGGTGACATTAGGTAGAGAGTGTTTCCATTTTTCAGTTGACGTCACTCTTCCTCTCTCCTCATCTCCATGTTTTCTCGGCGCGAGTAATTTGTATCATTTGAATCGAGCACTTTTCACAAATTAATTGAAACAAACAATCAAAATTTAACTCTTTCTCTCCCCATCGCAAGGAATTTGGTTCTGTGTAGTTCTAAATAGAACCAAATGGAAACCAAAGTTCGACTTAGGGAATTTTTTCCATTTTCTCCAAGATCATTCGTTGAGTTAACAATTAAATTTATGACTACAAATGGTACAACATTCTTCACGGCTTTTTTCATTCATTTAAGGAAAAACACAAAATACAACGGCAATTTGGTAATTACTATGTGCGTTTTGTTTGGTACGCATTCAAAATTGGCTTCAAAATTAGAATCATTTAATTCTAATGGATTTTTATGAGAGAAATTTTTCAATTTGACGCAAGCACACAGAAGTAAATCATTTGCAGCCCATGCCAAGCATCATTCGAAGCAAAGAAAAAAAAGAGACATACAAATCGAAGTGAGTATGTAGTAATGGCTCGTGCTATTGTTAACATTTGTCTTTGGTTCGTCGTTAACGAGAGACAGAGAGTAAAGTGTGCCAAATGTGCGGGAGAAAGTTGTTTAACACTTTGTCAAGAAATTCGTTGAGTCGCACAGACACACAGAGAGGAAGAGAGAGGAAGAGAGAGAGAGAGAGAGAGAGAGAGAGAGAGAGAGAAAGAGAATATGGTAAGCGCGAGTGATATCAATAAAGATATGCGAGGGTTGAAATGAAGTAAATGTGAAATGTAAACAGTAAACACCACTCATTCCACAATTGCAAACCGTTGAGAGATGGAAAAAAAAGTACGGGGAACATGACACTTAAGTTGATGGTTATTTCTATGTAACCAATTCAATAGGATTCAGTAGGACGATGAAAGGAAGGGGGTGAGATGGCGCAATAACACACCGACTTAGAATCGGCAACAAGATGATGCGATATTTATGTACCGCGCATCTAATAAAGACTTTTGCTATTCGACACTTTTCGGGAAGAGATAGTGTGTCAACGATGTTAAATAAATATATGGAACGCGTGCAAAACCACACGAAAACTAAACACACATGACACACAATTATACGTATGCAGTGCGACTTAACATACAGTCACATAAAATTACGCAGAATGTGCACAGCTTATAAAGATTTGTGTCAAGAACTTTATTACATGCATTACAAGTAATTATGGTTGATTAATGTGATGCTCTTTTTCATGATTAAAACAACAAAATCCTTGCATTACATTATTCAACACACACACACACACACACACACACACACACACACACACAGAGAGAGAGACACACATCGCGCTCGCTTGCCACACGTGATACACTCGTTAAACGCACATAGTGTTTAGTGGACGATGTGATTTTTCGCCAAATCAATCAAGGTGATTTCGCCTAGACTTCTCGTTTTATTAATAAAAATTTGTTGATTGTTTTTAATGCGATTTTTTGACGTGACATTTTTGTGAAATCATTATGAATACAAAATATGCGTTTACCAATGAAAATGTTATTTTGATTACAAGAAGAAGTGGCAATAAGTTGATGTTTTTTCCAACAAATTTTACTCATTCCATTTACTCGAAAATTCCACAGAGATTCCATCAAATTAAGTTTTGTGTATTTTCAATAAAAACACTGCTCTTTATAGTTGAGATATTTGGTATTGGTTAAGATTAATAGTGTCATACATTCACTGATGCTGTCAACTTATAATTGGAGTGAAAATCTCGTGCTCGGCATTAGGGAAAGTCAAAAGAGTTAAAAAGTTAAATAAGCTAATGACAAACATAAGCAGTAGCAGTAGCAGCAGCAGCAGCAGCAGCAAACAAATGGTTTAATTAAGCTGGCCCATTGCCATATACACGTAAATGAACTATCTGTCGACTATGAAAGGGGCTATTGAAAATTGCCTTGGTACGACTTTAAATGGAGAAATTGTGTGTTTGCGTGGTGAATTATAAATCATTTTGTCGAAACGTGTGTCGATATGCGCTTAAGTCTTAAACTAAAAACTTATTAAAAATACATTAGGTTAAGATATTGGTTTGAGTATGGTTTATTTCCCTTGTTTTTGCCATTCGGTTGGGCGATATTTGACTTTGCGGTTGCAAAATGCTGTATCGCAGCGATTTTCCAATGAATTTTCAGCGAAAGAAATGTAGAATTTTGATTTGCTGTCCGAACAACCGAACTCCAAACGGACTCTATATTGTCATTATAATAACGGATGAGCAATAGTTTTAACTTTGTTACTTTTCAAGTCGTTAAAATTAATTTTAAGCAATTATTTGACGAGAAAGTTAACCAAAACATTGTTCGTCTTTGTTCTTCAAAGAAGTAACGTAGACCCAAATCCCTTGGAAATGGTGTGCGTGCATATGTTTCACAGTGGTCGCGAAAACATCAATCAAAAGTGAAATATTACCTAATGTGATTATGAATGAAAATAAAATAATTTATGTCTTTCTTTCTTGTTATTGGGCTTTGAACAATGTTCGAGAAGAAGGCAAAACCGTTTAGAGGAAAATAAGATGAAAATGGTGAATGAGTGAACGAGCGACAAAACACTGCTGGAACGAAGATTCGAGAACAGTTCAGAAGGCCGAGAAATGATTCAGTGTTTTTATTTTCCTCATTTCATAAAAAATTTAAATTGTACGTTTCTTTACAGCGTTTCGGTGCCCCGAAAACATGAAACGAGACTGAGAACAAAATATTTGATTTTTATTGCATATTAACTATTTCATTTTAAACTACGCAATAAAATGTCGACCAAATGCAGCCAACCAATACACACGGAACAGAAAGAGATGACCCAAGAAGAAACAATGGGAGTCTCTTGTTGTTTATTCTCTCTCTCTCTCTCTTCCTCTTCCTCTCCGCATACAATGTATATATAATAATACATTTAAGTGTTATATTAGCTCATATATTTTGACATAGTAGAGGCCAATCGTCCAATAAATGATTGGAATGTTGTATGGAGAATGAGTGCATGGTTTATATTGCTTGACAACGTGTCACTGTGAGATTTTGTTCAATCGAAACGCTTCCATAGAAAGAGAAGAGAAAATAAAAGAAGCAAGATCACCACGAATATAGACATCATTATTGAGCTATTTACTTATGCAGTAACCAGTTCAAAACAAGCCAATAAAAACGCAATTTCAAAATCCAACCTGTCGCACTCACATTGAATGAATTTTGTATTACCTGTAAGTCAATCAATTCTCTCTCTCGAAATTTGATCGAATTGGCTATAAATTGTTGAAAATAAAAAAAAAACAACAACAAAGTTTTACGACAAAACCATATTGGTCGATTTAATTTCATCATTACTGCTTCAAAACGACAAACCAGATTTTTACATTTTGATATAGAAATGTTTAAATTGGTTTGATATTTAAATTGAGGCATTTTGCCTGAGCAAATGGATCTCTCATCAAATTAATAATTGCTGTGAAACTAATCGTGCTGATAAACTCGCCAACTCGAGAGATCTATCATTTTGGCTGTTCGACAGACCTTTCGAATAACTCAAGATTTATGCCACGAGAATGCAGCCGTCAAGCATTTTCTCTTTTCTTAAATTCAACTTCCTGACGGTGGACCTATTCTACATTCAATTTTTCTCGCCTTTTGTGTATTTGCAAAGCGCAAATAAATCGGCTTGAGGAAATGGTATTCAATGAGATTTTTCGGGGATTAAAATACAAAGTATAAATATCTGCCACTCGATGTTAATCCAACTCCGGATTGCAGATGTGTAAAACATGTTGAAACAGTGTAGTGAAAAGAAGACGTTTGAAAAACACAAAGAATTACATCTTTTACACATTTTATGTGTACCGTTTTAAATCTATCCCCAGTTATATTCTAATGGAATGTGCTGTTATCGGGCCAACGTCATCGTCTCTCATCCACCGTTACAAAAAAAAAACAACGAAGAAACCAAGAGAATGGTATTCTTGTGGTATACCATTGCTAGATTTCATTTGCAAGTGTTAATCATTTTGCATATACTTTTTTTTTCTCTCTTTTGCCGCCTTTGAGGCGTATGAAATGATCCCTCTTTTCATCTCTCGTGCACTCATTTCGTGGTTTTCATTTGGCGGGGTCGCATTTTTTTTAAGCAGATAAAATTAAATTGCATTGAAAACAGCTTTCTAATCTTTTCATTATCTGTGCGCTCTTCTCGCTTGCATCCATTCATTTTGGTAATGCGCGATATGATTTCAACATTAAACACATAACAACATTCAAAATATATTCAGCAGCTTGCCTTCTTATATTGCTTTAATTTAAATTCCCTTTACAAAATTCTCTACAGCCGAGAGAACTCCGGTATGACTGTGCCAAAAAAAAGATGAGTGGAATTGCAGACCAAAAAATTACATTGACTTTTTTTGTTCTTCTTTTCTTCTTCTTTTTTTTTATTTGCAGTAGCTCGTTTTTATTATTAATAGCATTGAGTAATCTACCGCTAAGTATTATAAAACGAGGTGATGAGCTCACAATTGCCTTGCCGCTCGCGTCAAATAAAAATTAAGCGTATCTTCTCTTTTCGTGTGTAAATTCACGTAATAAAATGAAGCATTTACCACCAGAAACACCAGACCACAATGGATTTTTCACAAGCCCTCCCAATTTTCACATACAAAAGATGACTACACAAGATGATACGCAACTATTCCATTCCAATCAATTTATGCACAATTCACTTCGGTGCTTTTTTTTCTTCTTCTTCGCAAGGCTATTCCCTTCGCCATCAAATTTCGTATGCAAGACAGAAAAGAAATTGTTGATAATCAAACAAGCAAAGCCACCAATTTATTTTGCTGCCAAAGCTGACTCATGCGGGCACCACTTAAGACCAAAGGCCATTCGCCACATTTCGCCCACACCAAATTCATTGCTTATGTTTTTATCGTCGATCAAGAAAAAGTCATATCCACTTTTTGCACGTGCCTTCAATTGTTTATTTACAACAATTCAAGTGATAATATTCCGTAATGGCCAACAGTCAGTATATTAATCGTCGTGGATTACATGCAGAAACTGAGGGCGATTATTACATTCTCACACACCGTTTCGATAACCTCTGACGGATTTTCTTTGGTCATTTGAACTATTTTCTTGACAATTGAAATAAAACCAAAGATGTGAAGTGTTACTTCTTAATTTTATTCGATGACTTCACAGATTTCTACTGATTTGAATACACAAAAATATTTCAAAAATAAACATTTTGAATGAACGAAAAGAAATAGTGAACAGAAGTCTGCTATAAAGCGAAATGAAAGTATTGCCGAAAAACTATGGACAAATTTAAAAGAAAAATTCCAAACACTATATTAACTATAAATCGAAATACGACCCCGCTACTAATTATGTTTGGGTATGATATTTGAGAAAAAACTTTGTGCATTCAACATTTGGTCGATGTCTTAACTATTGAAGATGTCGTCAGATGTGGTTAATACCTTTTGGCCATAAATAAAAGTCACCATGTATTAACTCGGTATTTCTTTGTTGGAAAGTTCTTTCTATTTGTTTCACTTCTTCGATCTGTTCAGTGGCAGTGATACACATTGTGTCTGTTGTTCAAACTATATTCAATGTGAAATGGTGTCGATGCTTAAATGCAAAAGAGGGTTGAATTTGTGTATAACTCATGTTAGATTTTAAGCGAAGAGAACAACACGCGATTTAATCCTCTGAAAATAGTGTGCGTGTGGCATTCGATGGCTGAGTATGTGTTAAACTCGGCGGCAATTTTCTGCAAGAGTCGACCGAATGAGTGCATTGATTTTATGAAAAATGCCTAAAAGTCCGTAAGGAAGTGAATTTGTAGCCATGTTGCGTTTCGGCTCGTTTCAAGTTTCCAGTTTCTTTCTCTCTCTCTCTCTCTCTTTTAACTATTCTTTTGCTCTTACATCGGTTGATATGAGTATGTGAGTGTGCGACTATGCGTACTGTAAACCTTCATCATCATAAAATTTATTACCCTTTTAATTCCAACATCGTACATTATACGATGAACATATTTTAAACGAAACTTGAAATGTCGTCTTTAAATAATTAAAATTGAAAAGGTTGCAGCACCCAATCAAATACTAATTCGAATATCGATTTAAATCCAACCCATCATCCGGGAGGTGACAATTTCCCCTCTTCTAATTCTTTTAGTTTTTGACTTGTGGAGACTGTTGAGCAATGGAATTTTAAACCTTTCTTATTGGGAATTAAGTGACGAGATATTTTCGTTTGAATGGAGTCTGCATTTTAGCAGCGTAAATTGAAAAAGTAGTTAAGTTACATAGTTGAGAGAGTAATAATCGAAATGGAACATGAATCATTTTCTGTGGCCAATTTTCCACTGTTTTCGACAGATTCACGGCGTTTTGTCTTGTACAAAAGCAACAGCACATAATTCTTCTATTTTTACATGCACAAAATGACGATGTTAAAAATAAATGTAGTGCCACCGTGTTATGCGGTGAGAGAAAGAACACGGTTCACTGTTTGGTTGTGCCTGCAATTCGCATATGGTTATATGTGTGTATTTGGTGCGCCGTAAAATTTAATGGAAAACTAATTGTGGTTTGCGGTTTTATGGATGATTCAAGTGAGCATTTGTTGCGATGCATGCATTTTTTTCGGTTTTTTAATGATAATCATTATTTTTCTTTTTAAATCACACAAGCAACACTTTGTATATCATATTGAAAAATGTATTTGCATCCTTTTTTACGACACTAACTTGGCAAATATAAGTGATCGAATCCAATTACGTTTTCAGGTCGATCAATGTGTTTTTCGAACGGAAGGTCGTTGTCAAAGATTATGAGAAAATCGATTTAGAGCCGTAAAATACAATGATTTGTGATGTTGGTGTATGCATGTATTGCAGCTTAAATAAGGAAAATAAAAAATTAAGAAAAAGAACTAACACCAATTATTTATGAACAAATAAATGTGTTTGAAAATGCGACGCAAACGAAGAAAAAAAAAATCAACATCCTTGAATCATTGTGTGTCATGTGCAATATGCACATTTTTAACTTTTTAATAAAAAAAATCAATAGAAATCTATCATTATGTTGGTTGGCACATATATAACATTTGGTATTTATTTAGAGCAATTTTCGAGTCCAGGGGCTTTATGATTGTGCGCAAAAAAATGAACGAACAAACAAATGGGCAATAATTTAGGATTAGAAAGTTACTCGCATCCAGGCACATATCTATTGATGCAAAACAAATAGAATGCTAAACATGAATACACTAAGCCGAAATGCATTTGAGATGAACACACATGTGCTAGCTGTTGCGTTGAATTTCTATTCAGGGAACGAAGGGCTTCGATTTTTAGAATGTATCAGAACGTTCCATTTCGAATTTTCAAGGGATATAATAATATACGAATAAACGAAAACCTCTGCATTCTTTTCTTGTGGATTTTTGTTTATTCTAACTCAAAAAGTCTGAGTTTCCACATTTTCTATTAACCGAACGCATTTTTCATTAGGCGTTTTATGTAAATGCCTATTATTTTGCTGGAGAATTGACAATTGTGTTCAAAATGTCTTGCGGGGTGCAACGGACAATGTGTACTTTACATATGAAAAATATATTATTTTTTAAACTTGGACTTTTCTAAGTTTAAAATCATTTTTTTAAGATGATTTCAATATCTCTGCTGCATACAGTGATGCGTGAGAGAAAGACGCCAGGAACTGAAAAAAAAATCTCGCGAACAATACACAAGATAAAATAAAAATAAAAAACAATCGAAAATAAAAAGAAAAAAATTGTGTCGAAATAACTAACCTGATTGATGTTGATGGAAATTTTTAAAAGAATTGTAAAATGGAAAACGATATAACGAATGACCAGATGTGTCCATGTGAAGATTTATCGGCTCTGCTCCATTTGTTTTCGGAGCTGTAATTATAAAAATAGACAAAAAAGAATGATGTGTGTGTGTGTTTAAACCGTGCATGGAAAATAAACGAAAACAACGACAAAAATCAATTGAAAGCGTTGGGAGAACGGTGGAAATGATTTGAAACGTTTTCTTCGGTTCGTGTCCAAAATATTGAACGACTAAATTCGAAATCGAAAGAAAACGAAAAGAGTAGAAATAAGGATGTGCCATAAAGAATGATGTCCACTTGAATTTTGCGTCCTAATGAAGCGCGCTTTATTAAAATTCATTACGATATGTGTTGGCCGAATCAATTCCATTCGGTTTTGTGTAAAAAATGCATGTTGCCGCGCATGATGACAACAATTTGCGGCTATCAATTTTGTACGGTGCAAATGATGCGTGCGCATTCACTGATATTTTTCAAATTAAGACAAACAAATTACGAGAATATAAACGAAAAAAAAAATCAGAAAAGTCGATCAAAGAATTTTATCGACGGCAAAATAACCGACGAAACACAAAAATATGTTTGTTCGTTAGAAATGCAAACACCTTTCGCGATAAGAGTAACACATTCTTATAATTAATGTGTTGCAATTTTCGAATGCCAAACATTTTGCAATATCGAATTCACTCGAATTTTCTGCTGAACATACAAAGTGTTTGTTTTACAACAAACAATTCTTCATATGCATTTTTGGCACGTAGTATTTGTGCGCGCACATCTTAACCAATGGGTCAAAGAAATCCACCACCAAAAACTATTGATTGTGAAATGCATCGACGATGAACAGAGAGAGAGAGAGAGAGAGAGAGAATGCACACAGAAATTCGGTCGAAATGTGGCCGAGCATTTGAGGTGAACACAAAAAAAAGACGAATTAATTTAATACACACCATTGACACGTTAATTTACACTCGAAAATACTTGAGAAAATATTTGTAATTTTTTGGACGACATCAACTGCATTCTGCGCACATCAAAACCGTATAACATATATGAGTGCGTGGTGTGATGCGATGGTGATGAAGAAGAAATGCGATCACTGCAGCAACTTACTGCAACAATGTAAACGTGATCTTAACACAGCGACCGAACAGAAAAACAAGTCAACCGAATGCATTTTGACGATTGGCTGCCATTCTCGATTGGCATAAAAGCATTTGGCATTTTGCGTTGACTTGATTTCAAGTGTCCTCTTGTACATATTTTCGTGTGCATTTTCTTTCGGAAGTTTTGTTTATCTCTCACTTTTCATAATTTGTGTGTATTGTTGTTGCTGATTTTTTCCTATCTTTCTCTTGTTATTTTGCCAAAGAGGTTTGTTGATATCTTTTCAATCGATTGCCGCTCTCTCACACAAGATTTATAAATATAGACATCGAAAACCGAAGCGACTTCTAAATGACGAAGCAACCGGAAAAAAGAACTGATCGCAAGCAAAAAAAAAACGATAGCGGAATATTACAGATTTTTAAGCGGCAACAATAACACACATAAGTCGAATTGATCAACCAAAAATTGAAGCATATTTTCATTTCAGTGCGTTTCATTTTTTATTTAACCAATCGGTTTTCTCCTCTTCTCGCTCTCACTCGCTCGATAAAATTGATACGCGATTTTAAATTCTTCACTTTTGTTATAAACATATATTAGCTCTGTGCTGTTCGATAGAGAATTTTGCACAGAGTTTCACAAAACAATACAAAATGCACACATTTTATCGTTTATTATATGTGATTCAGACACACCACAATCATAAATCAATACTCGAACAGTTGGAATAAAACCAGTTTCAATGCAATTCACGAATATTAAGCAGAGAAAAAAAAATGACGAAGGTGAGTGAAGCAGAAAAAAAAAATCTGTTGATAAAGTTCAAACAAAAGGAAGAAAGTTTTTGGGTTCAGATTTTTCGTGTGGCTATTTATGTTGCAGAGCACATGTTTGCACAAAATGTTGTATATTAATTTCGTGAACTCTTTCGTCACACGTCATTACATACTGATCACACAATGATCGCCAGAAGAAGTGAGTGCGAGAAGCGCATCCAAAAATGGTCGAAAGAGTGCGAACTGGCATCGGGAATCGTCACAGAGATACGATTTTTGTGCTTGAAAAACGCGATTAAGAAAAAAACGACCGAAATAGCCTCGATAAGTTTGGCGAAGATCGAATAACAATAAAAAAAAAACAGACCAATCCAACGAATCAGAGTCGTTTTTTCGCTTGTTTCTTGTATTTGGTGAATTTTGTTCTGTTGTCATATCATCTTTGAAATCGTTGTATTATACCGCGCGCACGGTTCTGCATTAGCATTTACAGTGCTTTCTTGTTGTGTTTTCAATTGTGGTGCGTTTTTTTTGCTTTCGTTGCTGCTGTGTTCCGTCGTGTTTTTTTTATATCTGTATTTTTATGTATCATTTATTCATGTTTGCAGAATACGACCAGACCAAATGTCCTCTCGATCTTTCGCGCGTTTCGCACAAGATATGCATTTATTCAAGTTCAACGCTAACACTCGTGAATTTTCATGCGTTATTATGTGCCATGTCTGTTTTGAGCCGAGATCAAGTTTTTCATTTTGATATTTTTTGATGATGACAGTTGATTTGTGTGTGCACTGCATTGCCGCGATTACCACTGTTTTTTTTGCTTCTTCTCTTCTTTCCTAATTTTATTTTCATTCTTACTTTGAGTGTGCATCCTTTTCACTACAAGCCTATGGTCTTTTGTCATCGTTGCGAATGATTTGATATGCATTTATTTGGTTTGCTTCGCTAATCATCAATAAAAACCACAACAACAACAACAAAAAACACGAGTAGAAATGCAGCCGTTGTATGATATGTGTTATTGACAAGGAGAATCGCTTTGTCGATTGCCGTTACCTTTCTATCGCCAAGGCACAGAGTAGACCAAAGAGAAAAAAAACACGAACGTAAAACGTACGAATGCGACAGGAAAAACAGTTCAATTTCGATGAAGAAAATAAAGATAAGAACAACTCTGAGCTCAAGTGCATTAATTCATGAACCAAATGCGAATGCGTGAAGACAAGAGCGATGTACATTCTGCGCACACGCACATTTCACAAATCTGTCTGTAGATCGACGATTGAAAATTTTTATTTTTCCATCATTTCAATTTTTAATACATTTATCCGTTTTCGTTGGCTGCAAAGCCGTTTTCGGCATCCATGTCATGTCAAATGAACAAGAGCCGAGAAAGGAAGAGAAACCGCATGGTATCTCTTTCTAGCTCATACACGATAATCGAAAGTCAAGTAATTGCAAAAATATAAAGAATCAACAATCGCAGAATCACCAATCGACCTTCATTACCGTGCACAATTGACTTGGAGTTTGTCTTGTTCTCTATATATTTACTTTTTTTTCAAGTTGACAATGTTAATATAGAGAGAGAGAGAGATAGACAGAAGTGGGCAGGGAACGAAAAAATACCACGCGGATAAGATAAATAAATAAACCGAAATGAACATTAATGATCATAACATGTCTCAATTTAAGAGCCGTCTCGTTTGTGCTACTGGATGTGTCTTATTCGCTCTCTTGTTGCCAATAAAAATGTGTACGCGATACCTTAAAGCACTATTCACGTAGTGTGAACACGATCATGATCATAGAGAGTGTCGTTTCGTCATCATTCTGTGTGTTTTTGCTAGTGTCTACCAAAACAAGAACTTTTTACTTTTCTATCTCTCTCTCTTTCTCTTCCTTTTGATATATCTGCGATATGCGAACTCTTTGCTCTCTCTACTGTTTCGTAATAAAATTTTATTCGTATTAATTTTATTTATTTAAGTCATTTATCGCAAACGTTTAGTAGAAAACGTTAATAAGCTTACTTGGTTTTGTTATCGACAGCCAATATATGACGCACGCGTGTTTGCATCACTTTTGTAATAATGATACATACACACTGTTGTACAAAATGTTCGCTTCTGGCACATTCTCACATTTCCACTGTAAACCGCTTTATTTTCGCTCGGCTTGGCCATAAAATTTATGTGCAATTACATCAAATAGGAAAAATCGACAACAAACGAGTGAGTAAAGTTGAGAATAAACATAAAGAATGAAAAAAAAAAATGCACACGATCAAGTGTAAATTGATCTAAACGACAACTAACACTCCTTTGATGAATGTGTCGATTGGATTACACATACCGCGACTATATCACATCGCTTCACAGAGAAAATGAAATAAATAGATGCTATCATTAGCCATTTTTCATAGCAATTCACCTCGATAAATCCAACGAGTCTGATTAATAATTTACGATAAAAATGAGGCTGATACTGCACGAAACAAGCAAAACATGAGAAAGAATGCAAGCACTGTATTCGCATTGTGCAAATGTCATGGAAAATGCTATGTAACGAAAAAGGTGCAAAAATCAAACGCAACACAAACACACTGGCAAAATTAATCGATATCACAAAGCGAACATAATGTTCATTGAAGTGTTGAACTATTATCTAAGATACTTTGAATATTGTGTCAACTACAAATCAGAAATAAAATAACATTCGATTGACATAGAAGTTTATTTTATAGTATTATTTTTAACATTTGTAACAAAGCAAAGTTCTTTGGGCCTTTGTGATTCGTTTTTGCGACCATGATGTTCAAATCGTCCTCATCGTAGCGTTTTAGATTGGGACAGCACGAGTGGATGAAAAAACGTCGTAGGTCCTTGCCCGTGGATTTTCAGTTGGTTCTTCATCCGTTGGAATAATTATTCGAGAAGAAATTGTGCAAATAACTTCTTCGAAATGCATAAGCAAGTGCTTCAAAAAGCGTGAGTTCTCCTTCGGTTTGAAGTTTCATTACGTCGATTTCCATCATCACACGATATGCTATAGTCGCCGTTCTGCACAAATTGCAACTTGGGTATAAAACGAATATACTCTTGCTTTTGTAAAAAAATGATGATGATGCGGACAGCATCGAAATAATTGTCTTTAATTTTTTTTTTAAATAAAAAAA